TCTGGGGTTGCAAATGCAAATGCCACAGGGCTTAGATGGGTACTAAATGCATGGGTCTTAGAGAAAAACAGAGATCACCTGAACTTATCTAAGAGTCAGCTGCTCTTGAGCTTGAACTATTGTTGCCAGCCTACAGTGCAGATCTAGTGTGGTCAGATCTTCCCATTTATTATTGGGATGATAAATAAATGGGTTGAAATAGCTCAAAATTAAACCTGTTTATAAGCTCTGCTCATACAGATAAGACAATTCAGAGATGAGTTGAGATACTGAGAACAGATATTGAGAAGATCACACTCTACAGCATTGCTTGTAACAGCAAAAAATGGGAAACAACAAAAACACCCACCATTATGGGAATTCTCAAAGAATTTGGAGTAAGCCTATTTGATAGAATACGGTATAATTAAGACAAATGAAGTCTAGCCTTCTGTATTCATGTAAAAAGATCTCAAAAAACATACAGTTAGGTGGCCAGTCAAGTTGTAGATCAATATACAAAATATAATAGTATTCATGTAAAACTAGAAACCAGGATAACTGCGTTCATCTTTGCTTTGCGTATCTGGCATGGATATGATGCCAGATACAGTTTCCTCACTAGCAATGAGGGAGAAGTAAGTTGCTCTCTCGTCTCTTCAGTCTAACAGTTTATGAATCTAAAACCTCCTCATCCCCATCCCCCACACGGAGAAGGCTATCCAGACTAGGGAATGAAACACGGATTCGCCCCTCACTTAGGAGAGTTCAATCTCTCTCAGTTCTCAATTCCTTTTCCAGAGGCAGTATGTGTAGAGAAGAACAGCCTTGGCGAAAGAGAGACGTGGATTTACCAGCCTTTTTCAGTGTCATATTCTTCATTTAGAAACGCAGATTCTAACACCTACCTTATAGACTTTAGTGAGGTTTACAGTTAACGTGTCAAATGACTAATAAGTAATAGTAGCAGTAATAGAATAAGGGCTCAGCATCAGGGTCGCTAAACAGAATCACGGTTTTTCACGCTGCCTTCCAAACAAAACTGATGTACTTTAAGTCGGACACGACTGAGCGACTGAACTGAATTGAACTGAACTGATCCGAACTGATCCTGGTGATGTTTCAGAAACAATCCAGAACAGTTGCTATGGCGACACTCCGGTTCCTCCTCCAAGCTTGTTCGAACAGCTTGCTGGGAATTGTAGTGCGTGGGAGATTACACTCATTGATAGGCGGGGCAGCTTCCGGAAAAGGTATATTTCCGGTTCTTGCCTTCACACCTACCGTCTTTATCCTCCCCGCTTCTGGGCCATTGAGCCCCAAATAAAAGCCCTTCTATGTGTCTTCCTTTCCGTGCTCGTCGAACTTACAGTTGAAGGCAGGCTAAGGGAAGCAATGTGATGCCGGCGCCGTAGAAGGGAGCGCACAGGTGGCTCAGGAAGAGGCGGGGCGCCCGCCTAGGCACGGAGCCGCTGCCTCCTACGTCACTTCCGTAAACAAAGAGCACTGTGGAGGCGCGAGGTCCGGGATGTGACCCCGGCTCGAGCTGCAGCGGTAGCATCGGCGCCTGCGGCGGTGGCTTCAGAGGCCCCGGGGTCTTTGCAGGGTGAAGAGAACCGCGATCCCCTTTCTCCTCAGGTATGACGTGGAAACAAAGGCACCTCCGCAGTGTCCCTGTAGGCCCCTCCCATCACTGTCTCTGGCCACTACTGGATTCTGGGCGGTGAAGGGTCTCCGTGACGGCTGATTGCGGAAGGGAAATGAGGTGAAGTCTAGAGAGACTCCTCGTGGTTTTTCTTAGAGGCTTGAGTTCCTGGCTAGTAAAAGACTACGAGTTGTGTTCTGTGAAGGTCTTTTCTGAAAGGGTCCTTGCTGCTTGGTATACAGGAGGGATTTCGGTGCTCTTGTAGTAGTGATGTTACCTTCCCAACACGGGTAATTTTCGAGCCCTTCCCCCTCAGAACATCTTAGTTTAGACCACTCTTGGTTTATTTGCGTTGCTTTACTTCCTAGTTTTCTTCTCTTTTTTTTCTTCTTGTATCACCAACTGTATATAAGCATCATTAAATTAAAAAAACCAGTGTGTTTTTATGTGGCATAAATGTATAAGATCCTTGCCTCTGAAGAACTGATATCCCATCTTCTGTGTTCAGTTATTTTTTAAACATTTAACTTGTGTTGCATGCCGAACCAACCCCAGAAGTTCTGTTCTGTTGCTGAGAATGCTTCTTAAAGGAAGAACCGTTAACCAAGATTTAAGCAGTTTGTTCTCTGCGCTTACAGACTGGGCAATACAGCCTTTCCTTTACAGCCTTTGGTTCTTTGGCAGTTTAGCTCCAGTTATGATTGTCTAGAATCAGCGGAATAAACTGAGTTCATTGATTTAACAACAGTGCTAGTAGCACACACACACAAAAGTTGTTTTGATTAAAATTCTCAAGTAATTACTTCAGGAGTGATATCAATGTATTTGAGTCTTTTTGAATGGTCATTGTTGTTTAGTTGCTAAGTTGTGTCAGAAGACTCTTTAAGACCCCATAGACCATAGCCCACCAGGCTCCTCTGTCCATGAGATTTTCCAAGCAAGAATACTGGAGTGGGTTGTCATTTCCTTCTCCACTGAATGGTCATAGAATGATTAAATTCAACACAGCATAGTCAAGACCTAATGCTCCTAAGGCTTTTTGCCCTGCGATGAGACAAGTAACCATTTCTCATCTTATGATACATGAAACAATATAATTAGGAAGAGTTGAATTTATGCATAAGTAAAAAGGAAATGTAGAAGGATGTTTTTAGATAGGTGGCTATTAGGAAAATAAAGCTGGTTAATACATAAAGTTAAGGGAAAGTACTGGGTAAATTCCCTTGTGGCTCAGCTGGTAAAGAATCCGCCTGCAGTGCGGGAGACCTGGGTTCGATCCCTGGGTTGGGAAGATCCCCTGGAGAAGGAAAGGGAAAGGCTACCCACTCCACTATTCTGGCCTAGAGAATTACATGGGTCCATGGGGTCACAAAGAGTCAGACATGACTGAGCAACTTTCACTTTCATATATATTCTCTCTGGAAAAACCAACTGTAATTTCATAGTGTAACTTTTTAAATGAACATTCTTTGGCATTGCCTTTCTTGGAAGTATGTGAACCATGAACTTTCAGATGTTCAAGCTGGATTTAGAAAAGGCAGAGGAACCAAAGATCAAATTGCCAGCATTTGTTGGATCATTGAAAAAGCAAGAGAGTTCCAGAAAAACATTTACTTCTGCTTTACTGACTATGCCAAAGCCTTTAACTCTGTGGATCACAACAAACTGTGGGAAATTCTTAAAGAGATGGGAATATCAGACGACCTGACCTTCCTCCTAAGAAATCTGTATGCAGGTCAAGAAGCAACAGTTAGAACTGGATGTGGAACAACAGACTGGTTCCACATCAGGAAAGGAGTACATCAAGGCTGTATATTGTCACCCTGCTTTTTTAACTTACATGCAGAGTACATTATGTGAAATGCCAGGCTGGATGAAGTACAAGTTGGAATCAAGATTGCCGGGAGAAATATCAATAACCTCAGATATGCAGATGACACCACCCTTATGGCAGAAAGCAAAGAAAAACTAAAGAGCCTCTTGGTGAAAGTGAAAGAGGAGAGTGGAAAAGTTGGCTTAAAACTCAACATTCAAAAAACTAAGATCATGGTGTCTGGTCCCATCACTTCATGGCAAATAGATGGAGAAACAATGAAAACAGTGAGAGACTGCAGCCATGAAATTAAAAGACGCTTGCTCCTTGGAAGAAAAGCCATAATCAACCTAGACAGCATATTAAAAAGCAGACATTACTTTGCCAACAAAGGTCTGTCTAATCAAAGCTATGGTTTTTCCAGTAGTCATGAATGGATGTGAGAGTTGGACTATAAAGAAAGCTGAGTGCCAAAGAAGTGATGCTTTTGAACTGTGGTGTTGGAGAAGACCCTTGAGAATCCCTTGCACTGCAAGAAGATCAAACCAGTCAATCCTAAAGGAAATCAGTTCTGAATATTCATTGGAAGAACTGATGCTAAAACTGGAACTCCAATATCTTGGCCACCTGATGCGAAGGACTGACTCATTTGAAAAGACCCTGATGCTGGGGAAAATTGAAGGCAGGAGGAGAAGAGGATGACAGAGGATGAGATGGTTGGATGGCATCACTGACTCGATGGACATGAGTTTGAGCAAGCTCTGGGAGTTGGTGACGGACAGGGAAGCCTGGCGTGCTGCAGTCCATGGGGTCACAAAGAGTTGGACACAACTGAGCAACTGAACTTTTTTTATATTGGCAAAACTAAATGTATATAATAAAATTTCATGTTTCCTTGGAAATAGATAGAGAAAGTAAATTCAAAATAGTAATGGAACAAATTTAACTTTACAGAACAGTTTTTGGTCAAGGAACTAGAATCAGTATTATCTCTTGGGAGAAACTGAATTTCTATGTGGTAATTGAAATAAGGTTTCTGGTTGCTAGTTAAAATGCAGGTACCTATGTCAGTTATACATCTGTTTGAATCTAGTTCCTTTTTCAAAGAATACATTTTAGAAGGGAAACCTAAAGACCACCTAAGGCTTGAGGCAGGCTGCATGATTTGTTTGGTGTTTAGGTGTCATACCCCTTCTATAACGATATAGGTTTTTTGAGGGCAAGGACTTTGTGTTGCTCAGTACTGTCTCACTAATGCCCAACATAGTGTCTGACATGTGGAAGAGAGTAAATATTTGTAGGATGAATTAGTAAAATGATGAACAAAATTTTTTGTCTTAACAGGCAGTTTTGGTTAGGGCTTCTGTGTATTTAGTAAATTAAGCTCAAGGATCCTTGTTCTAACTTTCTTTAATGACCTCTGAAATTCTTGATCATCTTTCAGCCCTAAAGTGGGTCTTTGAACCCCTTTCATTTTGGCATCTTCTAGCATATGTGTATAAATCTGCTATATTTCCTTAGGTCATAAGAAGCTGTCCTGGGTGCAATAAGGAACTTAAAACAATGGAGGAGCGCAAAGTGAAGAGGAGAAGTCCTAAGTCTTTTAGTGCCCACTCTACTCAGGTTGTTAATACCAAAAAAAGTGCCATTCCAGTTAGTAAAAGCACGGGGTTTTCAAATCCTGCATCCCAGTCAACTTCACAGCGACCAAAGTTAAAAAGGTGAAGTCTTTTCTTTTACATTATTATAGCGAAATGCTACTAAATCCACTCAATCGTATAACATTTTTATCTTGGTTTGACTTTTGAGGCACATACTATATGTGATTTAGAAAAAATTTTATGAAGGTTACAGTGTACAGAGATTAGAAAATGCAGAATGAATGATTGATTGGCTTTAAGGCTCTTTGTCTCATATTAAAATATACAGAGCAAGAGAACTTGTAGACAAAGTTGATGAGCTAGCCAGAAATGGAAAAGAGGTATGTGGTGGTTGTTTTTTAAACTGAATATTTGTGCTTTAGTAGTTTTTTTTTTTATAATGAATTCATTGTTTTAATAGAAATGATTTGTATTTATTGTAAATATTTAAACACAGGAAAAATTCAAAGAACAGAAGAACACTAAAATTCTACCACCTGGAAGTAATCATTATTAACATTTGGTGAACATCATTTGTCTTAAGACTTGAAAGGAAACGGGGGACAAGTTTGAATGTGTTATGTATTACTGCTGCATATATGTATTTTGTAGTGCTAGATATTTGGAAAGCAAGATAATATCTTTAGAGAAAAAGCACTTCATAACCTCTATCCTTTAGATAATTATGATTAAATAAACTTCCAGTTGCAAGTTCATCATGAGAGTCAGTTAAGGAAGTAACACTGTGACACTTTGTAGCTGCTAGATTTAAGCAAAAGACAAGAGGGCTGTCTTGGTGATGATCTCATACTCTTTTTTTTTTTTTTTCCACACTCTTTGAGGAAGCCAAAGAGACATAGCCAGAGACACTTGGAAAAGAACATTCCAATAAGGACTAAATGAAAAACAACAGGAGTTATAAGGGCTTCTTTTAAGTACATTGTCCGACTGGAAAGGACTTTTCCTCCTGGAGGAGTTTAATTTAGAGTCAAATTTTGAATATGGTTATGGTTTGTGGAAAAAGAGGGCCAAGAGATTTGCAAGGAGATCACTCCTTTTCCCAGATTTTTGCATCAGTTTATTTGTAGCTCATTGTCATTATCTACCTGGTACTTTTATTCCTATACGCCATTCTAGAATGTAGGCTTCCTCAGGCCTGGGGCTTATGTGCCAGACAGTATTTAGAGTGGGACTTGGCACAAAGTGTAATTTCAGAGGGTACTTTTTAATTAAATTATTTTAAGATAAAGTGAGACAGCATGACATGACCAAAAAACCTGAAGTAGGAAGGGACAGACTTATATTTTCTTTTGTGAGAGGGTTGTTAAATGATGAACTGATGCAAAACACTTGGATAAAGCTTCCAGTTTGAAAGAACAACAATTTGCTACACCAAGACCTTATATTCTGTAGCAGTTTATCTCAGATTTTAATGTGAGTATGAATCTCCTGGGGATCATTTTAAAATGTAGTTTCTGAATCAGTTAGTCTGGGATGGGGCTTCAGATAAGCATTTCTAGTAAGCTCACAGGTAATAGGGATGGTACAGCTCTTGGACAGCGCTAGAGTAGCACTCTAATATCATATATCATCTAATATATCTATATATATCTAATATCATCATTTGTAATATAAAATTACAAATCTTGCTTTGTGAAGAACTGTTACTGACCTACTCTCCACAGCCCATGTGTTCTACATTGATTTCAAGAGAATTAGTTTGTCTTGCCACATTCCCCCCACACCCACAGCCCACCCTATTCATCTGACCCAAATTTGTAGTGAGTAGAGTTGTGGGGAAGATGTCTTCACGCAACATTATGCAGAAACTAATTGAGTACGCAGTATATGTGTACTTCAGGATCTGTAGCATGTGTTGGGGTTATAAAAGTAATCCCTGTTCCCACTTAGTCTTTGAGCCTTCACTCACATACCACCTTTCACAAGTTTCCTTTGCTGTCCCTAGGCTGAATGAACTGTTCTTTCTCTTTGTTCCCATATCTCAAGATGGTACAGCTCTTGGACAGCGCTAGAGTAGCACTCTAATATCATATATCATCTAATATATCTATATATATCTAATATCATCATTTGTAATATAAAATTACAAATCTTGCTTTGTGAAGAACTGTTACTGACCTACTCTCCACAGCCCATGTGTTCTACATTGATTTCAAGAGAATTAGTTTGTCTTGCCACATTCCCCCCACACCCACAGCCCACCCTATTCATCTGACCCAAATTTGTAGTGAGTAGAGTTGTGGGGAAGATGTCTTCACGCAACATTATGCAGAAACTAATTGAGTACGCAGTATATGTGTACTTCAGGATCTGTAGCATGTGTTGGGGTTATAAAAGTAATCCCTGTTCCCACTTAGTCTTTGAGCCTTCACTCACATACCACCTTTCACAAGTTTCCTTTGCTGTCCCTAGGCTGAATGAACTGTTCTTTCTCTTTGTTCCCATATCTCAATGTGTGTAGCACCATCACTCAAGTGTTTGGGAGCCTGGGATATGCTAGACATGTATAATAAGAATCATCTCTACTAAGGGTTCTGAAAGGGCCTTCCGGAGGAAATCACATTTAAAGGATGTGTGGGAAGTAGCCTGGCAAAGATGGCAGTGGGGGGCTGGGGAAAGATGCTAATGTAGGCAGAGGATTAGCTGAAAGCAGATGAGAGAACGGATTTCTAGGAAGCAAAAGAGATTCAGAATGTCAGGAGCATCGACAGAACAAGAGAGAATAGGATTCCTGAAAGTTATTGGACTACTGAAGGGTTTGAATTAAGTCAATTATATGATCTGATTTTACTTTTTAAAAAACTGACTTGACTGCTCTGTGGGCAAGGAAAGGGGACTCAGACAATACACAGGCAGGGAGACCAGTTGGGAAGCTGTTGGAATCTTCAGACAAAGAATAGTAGCAGTGGAGAAGGAGAGAACTAGAGAGCTTGTAGAGAGCTTTATGGATATAATCTATAAGACTTCCTGCCTGCACATGGGAACCATAGGAAGCTGGAGGAGTCAAGGATGATAACAGATTTTAGCACTCCATCACATTATGATTGTGAATTTATGTCTGTCTTTCTCCGTAGACTGGGCACGCTTCAGTACACTAACTGATGTCCTGCACATGTTCATGTACTCAGCATCTGGCACCAAGTCAGCTACAGAGTGGGGGCCCCATAACCACTTACTGGACAACCTATAGTTCGGGGAACAACTGGGATAAAGTTTAGATGAGAAAGCAGAATGTTTCCTGAGAAATGAAATATGAAACATACACTAGTAAGAAGACTTACTAATTCTCCTTTCAGTTATTTATTTATTTATTGCATATCTAAAGAATTAGATACTGGAGGAAAAGAATTTCCCCTGGAGGAGGAAATGTCAACCCACTCCAGTATTCTTGCCTGGAGAATTCCAAGGACAGAAGAGCCTGGCAGGCTACAGTCCGTGGGTCGCAAAGAGTTGGACACGACTGAGCGGCTGAGCACGAAGATATATTACTCAAAATTTTTATATACCTTAGTAGTTCTAGTTTACATTTGTTTGAGATTTTCACAGCCTGTTCTTCTGGTTTCTGCCTTGAAATGACTGGTTTTACTTAGTATTGTTTCTATCCTTATGTCTCATTTTTATGGAAATTCCATTTAACTCACTAATTTTGCTGAATCTAGAACAACCTGAAAAAATAGAATTATCTCTTTTTAAAGATAATCATATGCAATTAATTTTTTTTATTGTATCCTTTTAACAGAGTGACGAAAGAAAAGGCCAAACCTCAGGGTGGAGAAGGCAAAGGTGCCCAGTCAACCCCAATCCAGCACTCCTTCCTCACCGATGTCTCTGATGTCCAAGAAATGGAAAGGGGTCTCCTCAGCCTTTTAAATGACTTCCACTCTGGAAAACTCCAAGCATTTGGTAATCCACAGTGTTTCTTTCCACTCTTTTTCTTCTCAAGATGTTGGCATCATATTTTCTGCATGTATTTGTCATTCCTTTTTAAAGTGTCAGTTTTTTTTTTTATTAAAAAGTCCAGAGGCATAAAATGCAATCATCCTAGATTGCATTTGTCATGGGATATAATTTGCTTTTTAAACTTTCAGGAGAAAAGATTTTTTTAACAAGGGTTGATTAGTCGAAATGTTAAAGTAGGATTGCTGTTGATGGATTAGGTCTCTTGAAAGTGTAACAAACAACAGGGATATTCTTTGTCAAATAAAATATTTTAGATTCAGTTTTCAATTTAGAAACACTCGATTATTTTTTTTTGAAGCCTAAACTTGTTTATTGTTCATGAGTCCTGATTTTCAAGAATTTCATGGCTGAAGTTCTTATAAGACTCTTAATTTCACTCAGATTATTATAAAATGCTGGGTTACTTAATTCTAATGGCATTTGTCAACTAGGACATGAATAGATGGTGTTAACACTTCTATATATGATATTACTATTTAAAAAAATTTTTTTTAGCTAAAAGCATTCTTTTACTTAAAAAAATTTTTCCATATAATTTTTTAATGCCTGATCATGTTTTAGATTGTTGTTGTTTTCTTGATCAGGGATTTGATTTATAATTTTACACAGAAAATATGCAGTCATTACAATGTAATTTACAAAAGAAAGAAAACTGATTTATTTTATGTACCTAGACTTTAGAAGTTTTTCCTCAAGACAGTTAGTTTAACCTATCCTAATCTTTATTAATGTTCTGGAATGTTCACCTAGGAAATGAATGTTCCATTGAACAGATGGAACATGTTCGGGGAATGCAGGAGAAATTAGCTCGCTTGAACTTGGAGCTCTATGGGGAGTTAGAGGAACTTCCCGAGGATAAGAGAAAAGCAGCCAGTGACTCTAATCTGGAGAGGCTTCTGTCTGATGTGAGTACCGTCCTCTTTTTTTAAGTTCTTTTTTTAGTCAAAATTTTTATTGTGATAAAATTCACCATTGTAATCATTTTAAAGTGTAAATTCAGTGATTTTTAGTATACTCACAAAGCTGTGCAGACATCACCACATCTAATTTCAGAACATTTTCATCACTCCAGAAAGAAAGCCTATACCTCTCCATTCTCCCCTCTCACCATCCCGTAGCAACCACCAGTTTATCTTCTGTCTCTATCGATTTGCCTACTCTGCACATTTCATATAAATGGAAATCATAAAATATGTGACTATATATGTCTGGATTCTTTCACTTAGTGTAACATATACTCTTTTTTAAAAGAAATTTATTCAAAGGAAATTATATTTACATCTAAGCATATTTTCTGAGATGCTGGCAAATCTAAAAGTAAAAATATTTGCTTCTGTACATATATAAAGGATCTTAAGATATAAAAGATAGTATCTCAAAAGATCCTGGCATAATTAATACATTTTGTATTAATTACTCAGGCGGTAGTTGCATATACATTTGGTGTTTATTGTAATTTAGTCCAGGGTCTCCATAGAACTGTATAACTTTAGGCAATTTAATGTTTTTGTAACTCAGATTTTTCTCTCTGTAAAATAGGGATGGTTAATTCTACCTGCTACTAAAAGCTGAGTATCATGTGAAATCTTTTTGTAATTCATAAAGTTTTTAAAGATTTTGATAATTAAAATGGCAACTTTTTTCTTTTAAAAACTATCAGAGATGATTATAGTTAAGAATGGTTTTAAGAATACCTATAAAGCTTCTTTTTTATCATATGGTTTTAACTCTTTTCTCATATTCTTATTTCATAAATACTAAAGCTACTTTATTATTAAGTGACTTTCTCAGTCTAAAATGTTTTAGAAAGTTCTTTAATCTTTTGCTTTTTTATTTAAAGAAAGTTTAAATGAGAAATAATTTCTTTAATATCTGATTAACAAGTATCTACTTAAAATATTTATGTTATAAAAATGAAAATTAAATTTGTTGCTTTGTGTTTACAGCTAGAAGAATTGAATTCTTCCATGTATCCTTTGCTTAGTATCAGCAGTGAAAAGTTTACAGATTGTAATTTTTGGTGACTAGTACTAATCAAGTGAAGAAACCTACTATTATTTACTGGGGCCATCTCTTTTTCCTTTTGGTTTCTAAATGGAATTTCCTAATTGTTTTGTATGCTTAAAATTTGTTTTTCTATCATTTGTGCTTTGCTTTGTATTATTTTTGGAATTTTAAAACAAAATTTTAAATATTTCAAAGAATAAGAATTAAGAAATAAGATATAAGAATTAAGAAATCAAAATAATTAAGAATTAGCCTAGTTGCCATATACATTATTTTGAATCTTAGATTCTTAAGGTAAATGAAAGTGGGATAGCAGACATAATAGACTGCACTAAATTTAATGTTAGAATTAAATGCATTAGAAAAGGTGTATTATGAGGTTAACTTAAAGGAAGTCACCCAGGCACATGTAAAATATTCATGTTTTGACATTCCAATTTAGAGCAGTTATTTCAAGAACTTTTTAAAATGTCAATTTGAATGTAGTGATAGGCACAATATGAGGTATTTAAGAATAAAAAAAAATGATCCCGTCTATATAAAATAATTTTAGAAGTAAGGCATCTCTTTGAACCAAATAATGAGATACTGGTAAGGATACTGGTTATAGAGTGAAGAGATTTGATTTTCAAAATTTTGTTCCACATTTTGCTAATGTAAATTTTGGTAGATTGTTTAACATTTTAGAGTGTCCTCTGTAATTTGAGGTAATTGCTACATGTAATGATGTGTATATGAAAATTTCCAAACTATATGTTAAATAGACTATATATTTTAAAAGTATTTTGCTATTATTGCTATAAAATGTACTATTTCTAATTGTTAAATTGTACAATAACAACAATGAAGAAATAGGAAGATATATATAAATCCAGTAGTAGTAACTAATATCTAACCTTTATTGAATACCTATTATTCTCCAAGTATTATATAAAGCATTTTACATGCATTATCTCATTTGATCCTACCTGGAAAGTAGGTGGTTCTACCCTTCATTTTACAGATGAAGAAAATACTGTTTTAAGAAGCCACATAAACTGTAGGGAGATATGGATGTGAGATATCATTGTCAAGACAGACTTTAATACAGGGGTAAGATATGAGTTAATTAGGAGGTTTTTCACTAGGGGTAGTTCCTAGTTCTTTTTTTATATTCTTTTTATAAAAATATTTTTATCTATTTACTTATTTGGCTGCACTGGGTCTTAGTTGCAACATGTGGGATCTAGTTTCCTGACCAGGGATTGAACCCAGGTCCCTGCATTGGAAGTGTGGGGTTTTAGCCACTGGACCACCAGGGAAGTCCCTTTTATATTTGTTTTAAGCTTCATATTCTATGCTTTATATTCTTTCTTATATGCTTATGACACATAATTGCTATCCTCTTATCTAGTTTTTGTTAAATATTTAGACTTACTTGTCTCACCAACTTCCTCAGTTCAACCCCCACATTTAAACAAGGCATGGTGGTAGAGTACAAGAACATGGGCTTTGGATTGCTTGGTTTCAAATCTTGGTAAGCAACTGTAACCTTGAGCAAAGCCTGGCAACCTTAGTTTCCTCATCATTAATAAATGTTCTCTCTGTAATCACACTTTCCCCTCCTAGTTTTCCTCTCTATAATCAGTTGTTGTTTTTGTTCAGTCACTAAGTCATGTCAGACTCTTTGTGATCCCATGGACTGCAGCATGCCAGGCTTCCCTGTCCTTCACTATCTCTCAGAGTTTGCTCAAACTCATGTCCATTGAGTCAGTGATGCCATCCAACCTTCTTATCCTCTGTTGTCCCCTTCTCCTCCTGTCTTCAATCTTTCCCAGCATCAGGGTCTTTTTAATGAATTGGCTCTTCACATCAGGTGGCCGAAGTACTGGAGTTTCAGCTTCAGTATCAGTGAAGCTGATTCATTCTTCCAATGAATATTCAGGACTGATTTCCTTTAGGATTGACTGGTTTGATCTCCTTGCTGTCCAAGGAACTCTCAAGAGTCTTCTCCAATACCACAATTCAAAAGCATGAATTCTTCAGTGCTCATCCTTCTTTATGGTCCAACTCTCACATCTGTACATGGCTGCTAGGAAAACCATAGCTTTGACTATACGGACCTTGGTAGGCAAAATGATGGCTCTGCTTTTTACTATACTGTCTAAGGTTTGTCGTAGCTTTCCTTCCAAGGAACAAATGTCTTAATTTCATGGCTGAAGTCACTGTCCTCAGTGATTTTGCAGCCCAAGAAGGTAAAATCTATTACTCTTTCCACTTTTTTCCTATCTATTTTCCATGAAGTGAAGGGACCAGATGCCATAATCTTAGTTTTTTGGATGTTGAGTTTCAAGCCAGCTTTTTCACTCTCCTCTTTCACCCTCATCAAGAGGCTCTTTAGTTCCTCTTTGCTTTCTGCCATTGGAGTGGTATCATCTACATATCTGAGGTTGTTGATATTTCTCTCAGCAGTTTTGATTGCAGCTTGTGATTCATGCAGCCTGGTATTTCACATGATGTACTCTGCTTATAAGTTAAATAAGCAGATCGTCTTGGACATCTGAGTGCCTTCCTGAGTACGTACACTTGGACATTTGGGTAACCCTGAGTCCAACTCATGAATGACAAAACCAAAGAGAGACAACTACAGATAAAGACTCCAAAGCAGTGGGTCTCATTGGCAGAATGCATGCTACTTCTTCCTTAAAGTGACTGGTCACCCCTTAGGCCCAGCTGAATGCGGGAGGCAGAAGTTGGTTAGTCTTAAGTAAGGGTCACCTATTAGCGATGGTTCTCAAAGTGAGGTGTGAAATGATGTTTCATTGTTAACAACTTTTAGGAGAACCAGAATGAGGCGCATTTAACTATTTTGGGGCATTAAATAGGGGAAGGTGGGTGCAATGCAGTGTTCTTTTTATCCTTTATATTATGTTCCAGTTGTTAAGCTGAACTTAGGACACATTTGAAAAAAAAGTATTGGGATTTGAACATCACATAGAAAAACTGGTTTCTAATCTACAGGGTATTGGACTTTGGAAAAGAGAGAAGGAGAGTGAAGAAAATCATTTTTATGTATTTCTTCCCCTCCATATATATTATGAAAAAAATAATTAAAATATCTTCCCAAAGATTTTAGGTAATCGAAATATATCCCTGGATATCTGTGAGCAGTGTTTTCTGGAGTCTATGTACAGAAGAAAGAGCAGTTTATTATCTGCTGAGCAATAGATAGGATTGAATAATTTTTATTAGTTATTTAGAGAGCCTAAGAAAAGGCTACAGTCCCTGACAGAACAAGTAGAAAAGTCTCTGCCTGCTAAGAATGATTATAAGTGGTCAAACATGGCCCTGTCATCAGCACCCCTAGTTTTTTAATGTTCAAGATTATTTAAAAATCCTTTCTATGACTATAGCAGATATTGCTAATCAGTCATGGCACTGTCTGCCATTTAACTGGACAGGGACATGAAATTACTTGCTATCTCTTAATTACAGTTAGTTGCCAGGCATTACCAGTTCTGTTTTATATTCTTTCATTCTCTACCCGAATGACCTGATTCTATAATATTTCAAATTTCTGTTCTCTAGAAACTCTAGAGTTGCACTGTACAATATGAGAACCACTAGCCAGGTTATCTACTGAGCACATGAATTGTGTCCAATATGGATTGAAATATGCTATAAGTATAATGTGCACACCTAATTTCAAAGAGACTGAGAAGAAGAATGCAAAGTATCTTAATGTTTTTATAAAGATTACTTGTGAAATAATTTCCTAATTACTAATATAAATAATTATACTTTAAAAACTATATCTGTTGCTTTCATTATATTTCTGTTGGACAGTACTGCTATAGACTTTAGACATTGCCACTAAAAGTTATTCTTCCTAAAACATCACTTTTATCTTGCCATTCCTGTTTCTTACCAAGTTTTTCACTGTCAGACTTTTTAAAGGCTCTCAATAATTTGATCACAACATATTCATCCTGTTATGTTTTTCATTATTTTTCATTCCCATCAAGTTAGTTCTCTGGATGCTCAAATTCATGCTCACCTTAATGCCTTTGTTCAGGTTGTACTTTCTACATAGAGTTACTCTGGCCTCCCCTTTCTCCTTATCAAATAACACTCAAGCTGACCACATTCATAAAGCATTTTGTTTGTACCTCAGACTAGCATGCTGCCTTATTTCATCTTATATGTGTTAATTTCAACCTTCCAGCCAACTGAGAATATCTTTCATAGCAGAGCTCACGTCTGTACATTCTTTGCGAACATCTGCTACACGTGTATTGCTAGCATTTAGTTATCCACAGGATATCCAGATCATTGTTTGAACTGGGTCTTGAAAACCAGGTGGTAAGTGGATCATACAGGTGAAAGAGGAAAATGAAAGGCAGTGATTAGAAGGATAGGGAATAAATTTTGCAGGAATTCTATACTATTTGCAGTCTTCCTGAAGAATAGATCGGAGGATTATAGAAAAGATTTTAGAACTATGATGATTTTCTTCTATTTTATTCTTTTGGACTTTCAAAAAGAAATTATCTTCCCAAGGATCATAAAGTGGTATTGTCTTTTCAAGTGAATTTTGTTAATCCAGTTAAGTTTTCATATTTACCATGGAGATGATTCTTGCTGCATTAAAGTCATTTTGTGCTCTCTTAGAACCAGGAACATAGTCTTGAATCAGTGACTTTTTTTTAAGTCTTCAAATTCTAGACATAGTAAAATACTTCACTATATTTAAAGACTATCTTACCACATCCAAGTTCCTCAATAACAGCATAGGCACTTTCTGTTTAAACATATTTCTTTTTCTAATACCTCTGTCTCTTAGCTATTGAATGTAATTTCCAGAAATGTAAAAGAAGTACTCATTAGAGAATGAAAATGTTCTTAACTGATGAATTCAGACAAAAACTCCATTTGGCAGATGCACAAGATGTTCCAAATACTTCCACCAGCTAAAATGAAATTCAGTTGCTTTCTCGTGGTTTGAAGAAAAGCAGCACTCTTTACTTTTCCAGCTGAATCCAGTAGCAGAATCATCTTTCACAATAAGGAATTAAAGTAATTAAAGTGCAAATACAGTGATTGCTTTCACATGCTGCTTTTAGTAAACTTGACTTGCCATAATTCACCTAACTGGAGGTCTAGGTCTTGTTGAAGGCTTAATCAGGAAATGTGATAAGAGCTTTTGCTGCTATGCTTAATATTGTTGCCTTATGGGTTTACACTTGAAATGCACTGTGCTAAATGTTGTTGATGGGGCTGAAGGATTTAACCTTCCTGAGCTCATCAAACTTATTCCACTGTTGATAAGCTGATGATGCACAGGCTTTTTGTGGCAGCCCAGCTTCAGTTTACATTAGACAATCGGTACACACACCTGGTGTGTTTTCCAGTGGCCAGTGACAACAAAATGTTGAATGAATATTTGTGAAATTTGCTATTTTTAATAAAGTGATTGTTTTAAATTAAAAACAGTCTCTCTGTTTTAGATCAACTTACAGTCTTCAGTCTGAGAATACAAGGGCTGGCTCAATCCTCCAAGGGTAAACTGTATTTAGAAAGTTGAGGTTCGGTACCTTTCTTGCAAACCTTGCACCGTGTGCACATTTAAATATTGATATAATGAAAAACAGCATGGGCTTTGATCTTACTTAGACCTTGGTTTGAATCTCCATTCTGCCCCTTAGCTTTAGGTTCATGTGTGTTTACTCAGTTCCTGTTTTTTTTTTTAATCTAGAAAAATGTGGTTAATAACCAGCTTGTAATGGTTGTAACGAGGAAGTAAAACGAGGGAGGAGCCAAGATGGCGGAGGAATAGGACGGGGAGACCACTTTCTCCCCTACAAATTCATCGAAAGAACATTTGAACGCTGAGCAAATTTCACAAAACAACTTCTGATCGCTAGCAGAGGACATCAGGCGCCCAGAAAAGCAGCCCATTGTCTTCGAAGGGAGGTAGGACAAAATATAAAAGATAAAAAGGGAGACGAAAGAGCTACGGACGGAGACCTGTCCCGGGAAGGAAATCTTAATAGAGGAAGTTTCCAATCACCAGGAAACCCTCGCACTGGCGGGACTGGGGGAAGTTTTTGGCCATCTAACTGGGAGGAAAAATTAAAACAAGGCCCACAGATTATGTGCCTAAAAGCAACTCCCAGCAGAAAAGTACCCCAGACACCCTCACCCGCCAGCAACAAGCGGGGACGGAACGGAGAGGAGTGGGCGGCATTGCTTAGGGTAAGGACCGGCCCGAAGACCCTGAGAGCAGTCGGAGGGAGCTTTTTTAAACTGTGGGATAGCAAGGGACAAAATTAACCGGCCCGAACACACTGCCGGCGGTTCTCAAAACAAAGGGACTGAGAAACTCCAGAGAAGAGCCGGCCCATCCCCGCTGGAGGTAGGAGGCAGGGGGGAGGGGAAAAGGGCAAACTCAGCCCCTGAGAAGCCACCCCCTCCCACACTGCAAACAGGCCCCGGTTCCTATCTAAAGACTTCCTGAGACCCGACTGGCGGCGCGCGCTGGGGCCGCGGAGGGAAAAAGCGCGCCGTACCCGGGGAGATTGCGCCCAAGCCTCTGGCTGCCTGAACCTCTCGCCGCGGAGGGAAAAGGAGCGCCACACCCGGGGAGAGTGCGCCCAAGCCTCTGGCTGCCTGGGCAGCTCGACGTGGAGGGAAAAGGCGCGCCGCACCCGGGGAGAGTGCGCCCAAGCCTCTGGCTGCCTGAGCCACTCGCCGCGGGGGGAAAAGGCGCGCCGCACCCGGGGAGAGTATGCCCAAGCCTCTGGCTGCCTGGGCCTCTCGACGCGGAGGGAAAAGGCGCGCCGCATCCGGGGAGAGTGCGCCCAAGCCGCTGGCTGCCTGGGCCTCTCGACGCGGAGGGAAAAGGCGCGCCGCATCCGGGGAGAGTGCGCCCAAGCCGCTGGCTGCCTGGGCCTTTCGACGCGGAGGGAAAAAGCGCGCCGTACCCGGGGAGATTGCGCCCAAGCCGCTGGCTGCCTGGGCCGCTCGACGCGGAGGGAAAAAGCGCGCCGTACCCGGGGAGATTGCGCCCAAGCCTCTGGCTGCCTGGGCCTCTCGACGCGGAGGGAAAAGGCGCGCCGCATCCGGGGAGAGTGTGCCCAAGCCGCTGGCTGCCTGGGCCGCTCGACGCGGAGGGAAAAGGCACGCTGCACCCGGGGAGAGTGCGCCCAAGCCTTTGGCTGCCTGAACCGCTCAGGCCGGGGAAGGCACAAAACGCAGGCGCAAGCGAATCCGTGCTTTTGTGGAGTACCCGAAAACTGGAACCGCACTCAACACAGGGCCCGCTCCATATAGAGCAGCCGGGAGCCTGAGCAGTGTAGACGGGGAAAGCACTGACACCCGTGAGCGGGGCAAACCCAGTGTGGCCGGAACACGGTGAGTGCTATCCACACAGAGCGGTATCTGTCTGCAGCGCCCCGCCCTCCCCGTAGCAGGACTGAACTGAACTAGAGAACCTAAATAAGAGATCACCTCCGCCCACCTGTGTCAGGGCGGAAATTAGACACCAAAGAGACGGCAAACAGAAGCCAAATAAACAACGGGAACCGCTTCAGAAAGGACCGGTGCAACAGATAAAATCCCTGAAGGTAACACCGACTACACCGGAAGGGGCCTACAGATATCGAGAAGTGTAAGCTGTAAAGAGGAGCTATCTGAAATTGAACTGAACCTACACTGACCGCAACAACTCCAGAGAAATTCCTAGATATGTATGTATTTTTTTTAATTAAAAAAATTTTTTTTCTTTCCTTTTTTAAATTATTTTTTATTTTTTATCTTTTATTTTCTTTTAAAATTCCCTATTACTCCCCCATTACTCCTCAACTTTCATTTTTATATATTTTTACGATTTTTTTAATTAGGAAAAAAAAATTTTTTTCTCTTGTTTTTCTCTCCTATTTCCTTTTAAAGTCCTCTAATACTCCTCTATTATTACTTAATTTTCATTTTCATTTCACTATAACCTTGCCAAAAAAAAAAGAGAAACCCTATTTTTAAACCGAACTTCATATACATTTATAAATTTTTTTGCGTGTTTTTGTTTTTAAATATTGTATTTCAAAGAGTCTAACCTCTACACTAGATTTTTAATCTTTGTTTTTCAGTATGTGATATAAATTTTAGACATTTAAGAATCCAATATTCAGTTCCCATTTCTATTCAGGAGTGTGGTGACTACTCTCCCACTTTTGACTCTCTGTTTTCTACCTCAGAACACCTCTATTTCCTCCTTTCCCCTTCTCTTCCCAATCCAATTCTGTGAATCTTTGTGGGTGTCTGGGCTATGGAGAACACTTTGGGAACAGATAACTGCGTAGATCTGTCTCTCTCCTCTTGAGTCCCCTTTTTCTCCTCCTGATCACCTCTATCTCCTTCCTCCCTCTCCTATTCTTCATGTAACTCTGTGAATCTCTCTGGTTGTCTCTCACGGTGGAGAATCTTTTCACCATTAACCTAGAAGTTTTATTATCAGTGCTGTGTAGTTGGAGAAGTCTTGAGACTATTGGAAGAATAAAACTGAAATCCAGAGGCAGGAGACTTAAGCCCAAAACCTGAGAAAACCAGAAAACTCCTGACTACATGGAACATTAAGGAATAAGAGACCATCCAAAAGCCTCCATACCTACACCAAAACCAACCACCACCCAAGAGCCAATAAGCTCCAGTACAAGACATACCACGCAAATTCTTTAGCAACGCAGGAACATAGACCTGAGTGTCAACATACAGGCTGTCCAAAGTCACACCTAACACATAGACCCATCGCAAAACTCATTACTGGACACTCCATTGCACTCCAGAGAGAAGAAATCCAATTCCACGCACCAGAACGCTGACACAAGCTTCCCTAACCAGGAAACCTTGACAAACCAACCGTCCAACCCCACCCACTGGGTGAAAGCTCCACAATAAAAAGGAACCACAGACCACAAGAATACGGAAAGCTCACTCCAGACACAGCAATCTAAACAAGATGAAAAGGCAGAGAAATACCCAACAGGTAAAGGAACATGAAAAAAGCCCACCAAGTCAAACAAAAGAGGAGGAAATAGGGAATCTACCTGAAAAAGAATTTAGAATAATGATAATAAAAATGATCCAAAATCTTGAAAACAAAATGGAGTTACAAATAAATAGCCTGGAGACAAAGATTGAGAAGATGCAAGAAATGTTTAACAAGGACCTAGAAGAAATAAAAAAAGTCAATTAAAAATGAATAATGCAATAAATGAGATCAAAAACACTCTGGAGGGAACCATGAGTAGAATAACAGAGACAGAAGATAGGATAAGTGAGTTAGAAGATAAAATGGTGGAAATAAATGAAGCAGAGAGGAAAAAAGAAAAAAGAATCAAAAGAAATGAGGACAACCTCAGGGACCTCTGGGACAATGTGAAACACCCCAACATTCGAATTATAGGAGTCCCAGAAGAAGAAGACAAAAAGGCCATGAGAAGTTACTTGAGGAGATAATAGCTGAAAACTTCCCTAAAATGGGGAAGGAAATAGCCACCCAAGTCCAAGAAACCCAGAGAGTCCCAAACAGGATAAACCCAAGGCGAAACACCCCAAGACACATATTAATCAAATTAACAAAGATCAAACACAAAGAACAAATATTAAAAGCAGCAAGGGAGAAACAACAAATAACACACAAAGGGATTCCCATAAGGATAACAGCTGATCTATCAATAGAAACCCTTCAGGCCAGAAGGGAATGGCAGGACATACTTAAAGTAATGAAAGAGAATAACCTACAACCTAGATTACTCTACCCAGCAAGGATCTCATTCAGATATGAAGGAGAACTCAAAAGCTTTACAGACAAGCAAAAGCTGAGAGAATTCAGCACCACCAAACCAGCTCTTCAACAAATACTAAAGGATCTTCTCTAGACAGGAAACACAGAGGGGTGGTATAAACGTGAACCCCAA